GTGGCACATCGGGACCCTGTGACAGGGCGCGGGCTGGGGCCACATCCATGTCCCGAGAGGCCTCAGAGGGCGGGCCGGGGAGCAGGGCCGTGACAGCCCTGTCAGCTCCCCGGGCAGGCCCCGAACCCGCTGCCCGAGGTGGATGTGGGGCAGCCCGGGCGCTGAGCCAGCCCGCTCGTCCCGCCCTAGGACGCCCCCAGGAAGCAGCCGCCGGCCGTGCCCAAGGACGAGCCCCTCAAGACGGTGCAGGAGAGGAAGAAGTTCCGGCACCGGCCCGAGCCGCTCTTCATCCCGCCGCCGCCCTCCTACCACGCGCACCCCGCCCCGTCGGGCGCCACCCTGTACCAGAGCCAGCTGCGCTCGCCGCGCGTCCTCGGCGACCACCTGCTGCTGGAGCCCGGCCACGAGCTGCCCCCCTACACGCCCCCGCCCATGCTGAGCCCGGTGCGCCAGGGCTCGGGGCTCTTCAGCAATGTCCTGGTGTCGGGGCACGGCCCGGGCGCCCACCCGCAGCTGCCCCTCACGCCCCTGACGCCCACGCCGCGGGTGCTGCTGTGCCGCTCCAGTGAGTCGCCCCTGCCGCCCCGGCCGTGCAGCTGGGTGCCGCCGGGTGCTGCCGCAGGCCGCCCTGTCTGTCTGTCTGTCTGGTGGTAGCGTGTAGCTCACAGGCTGTGGGGTGTATCCGCTGCGGGTCCCACACACGGTGCCAGAGGCCAGGGAGTACTTACAATAGCCCTTGTCCTCAAGGGAGCGTGGTCTCACTGGGAGATCAGCGCGAAAAGTGATGGCGCCTGTCTTCCTGGGACGAGGACCGAGTCCCAGCATGCTCATGGGAAGGCTGCCGAGAATGGCCTGTGAGACACAGAACCCGTGTGCTAAGTGGGTGTATGCAAACCATCAGCTATTACGTGAGCAGAAGCCTTGACGTTTAGCGTGCTGCATAGAAATCCCACGGGAGAGGCCTGTAGCCAGGACCTCTTTCTGGAGCAAGAATAGTTACATTAAAACCATATGACCTGGCTAGCTACTGGCATGGTGGTTAAGGCCTCAGGATCCCACATCGCCACCATGGTTGCAGTCCTAGAACAGTCGCTTGAAAATCATGGCAGTTACATGATTCCCAAAGAATGGAGGAGAAGGGATCGGAGAGCAACCACCCCCCCAAGGGGGGTGCTTTCTCATTTTACCCCTCTCTCCTCCTAGGGTCTGCCCCTATAGCCAAAACAAAATAAAAAGAACCAGACAGGAAAGTTGACCAATGTGGGACATCTCCCTGTGCAGGAAGCAGGTGACTCTTTAGCCCCACTCTCCACCAGCTCCTGGAGACTGGGGGGTAACTCTGCCAAGGCTTGGGTAGGAGAGGAGCCCTGTTATGACTGGCCAGGTAAGCACTCATTTGCTTTAGTTTCTTCAATCCCCTACCCCTGTTGACCAGTGTCCTCTGCTTTTTGTGTTTCAGACAGCATTGATGGCAACGTGACCATCACCCCAGGGCCTGGAGAGCAGACTGTGGATGTTGAACCGTAAGGAAAAGCCAATTATTCTTTAGAACAGAAGTCTCAGCTGAAGAAGGGGACCAAGAGCTTTGAGAAGTGTAGTTAGCACACTTCTGTGATCAGAATGGCCGCTGAGAGAAGTTGTAGAAAGTACAGTAGGATCATAGTATTTCTTGAGTACTGCTCGTTCCCTAGAGTTGCCAACATCACGAGGCCTTTGCCAAAGATTCAGTGAATCATAATAGCATGAGGCCCTGTGTTCAGAGAACCTCACATCACTCTCTGGCCACACAGGACAGGCTGGTTGAAGCCACATGTTTTCACATCCGCAGAGACATTTAGTCATTTCTCTTGGGATGCCTAGCTATCTAAAAGCTCCTTCCAAATGCCCTGGCTTCCTCCATCCCCTCTCAGATTCTTGGCCAGTATTTTAAATGGGTTTATTGAATGCTTGTATCCTACACGGACACTGGGGAGTATTATGAAGGAGAAAAGGTGGTGGTTTCCATGAATCAGCTCACAAAAGAGGCCAGCTGAGTAGATTGAGTCTGGAATCAGAAAATCTGAGTTCTGACCTAATGTTGTTATTTGATCTTGATTGAGTTCATCTTTCTTGGTTTGGGTTGACTCATACTCAATGGAAATATTTATTACTGCCTTGCTTACTTCACAGATCTTTATGAGATTCGGATGGGATAATGTATGTGGAAGTGGTATAAAGGGATGAAAAGTGAAATAAACACTTCGTATGTGTCCTTTTTTCCCCTGGTTTCTGTGATGCAGCTGTTCCCTTAGAATTAGCCACTCTCTTGCTCCTAGTTATAGGGAGCTATGGAGCCCAATGTAGACTGCTCTTTTGTTCCCTGCGACATCTCTCTCCCATCTTAAAGTTGGTCTTTATGCCGATGAAAAGGCTATGCCTGGAATCTCAGGGTCACACTGTGAGGAAATGCCTCTGCATTCTTCTTGCAGCAGGAACTAGTTTTCTTCTTCGTGTTCCTGACAGTTGCCCTTGGCCGAGGCCATTAAATTGAAGACCACATTGTTGTTTCTCTTCTTGTCATTAAAGACGCATCAACATTGGCTTGAGATTCCAAGCAGAGATCCCAGAACTCCAGGATGTCTCTGCCCTGGCCCAGGATACACACAAGGCCACACTGGTATGGAAGCCCTGGCCAGAGCTGGAAAACCAGGACCTTCAGCAAAGAGGTACTGACGTGTGGGAAGAGCTGGATGGGTGTGACTTGACTCTCCCTGGGATCCCTGACTCCAGGATTGTTGTGGGTTTTTTTTTTTCACATGATACTGAGCCCTCTCTGATGCAGTAGCTTCTCCTTGTTCCCAACAGTGGAGAATCTCCTGAATTTGTGCTGTTCAAGTGCATTGCCAGGTGGAGGGACCAATTCTGAATTTGCTTTGCACTCTCTCTTCGAGGCCAAAGGTGATGTGATGGTAAGGAACCAAGAATTGTAAAGAACATTTTCCCAAGTAATTGTATCGCCCCATGTCCCATACAACCAATTCGTAAAATGATGACCAGTCAACATGCCTCCATTCATTATCTCAGGATCTGAAAGCCTGCAGAAAAACTCTCCAGTTGGACTTCTGTCTACACATCTGTTCCTACTTTATAACTGTAGACATATCTATTCTAGGAAATTAGTATCTCTTTTCACCTGTCTTGTATTGCACATCAGAACACTAGGTCTCCACAGATGGAGGTGGAAGGCCTTACTGAAGCTAGAGTTGACCTGAAATAGCCCATCACACTCTACTGATTGGTTTTCCCCACTGTGGAAATTGGCCACAGTTTAATGTGTATAGAACTCTCCTCTCACCAAAAAGAAGTGTTACTGTCCACCCCAACTTGTTCCATTCTTCCCCCACTCACATATTTCACTCAGAGCCTTGGTGCTACCTTCCCAGAATCAGAGCTGACACCTGATCTGCTCAGCCTAGACTTTTGGCCCAATCACTCAGTCACTCAGTTTCCCCTGTATGTAAATTTGTGATTCTTCTTATCTAGCCTCCTGCTTTTGGTTTTTATGAAAATGTGAATAAACAAATGTTCCAATACTACAATATCATTCAAGTATTTTCTAGACTGTTGGAGAAATACTTTTAACCCTTTGAGATTAGCGTTTTGCAGAGTAGCACTTCTTGAACTTTCAAAGTGCACACAAGTCACCAGGAGAGTCTTGGGAAAGACAGATTCTCATTCAGCAGGTCTGAGATGAAACCCAAGATTCTGCATTTCTTTCCTTTCCTTTTTTTTAGATTTTTGCCATAGGGCAACTATGCTCACTGGAGAGAGACAGTAACAGAGACAAAGTGAGAAATCACTTGTCAGGAGGAATAACCACACTACCGTCCCCTCTCCTCTTAGGGTTTTGGGCCTGCACGCAAAATGCACCTGGTGTGTTTTTCAGGCCACTGGGTCTGGGACTTGAACCACAGAGTTGGCCATATGAGATCCAGTGCTTTAACCACCATGCCACCTGCTGGCCCAGGTTCTGCATTTCTTCCTTTCTTTTTTAAGAAAGATTTTTGCTATAGGGTGTGTGTTATTGCCAGAGAGACAAGGAGAACAGAAAGTGAGAAATCACCTCCAGGGGGATGGCCATGCTGTAATCCCTTCTCCATTCTCCTCTTGGGATTTGGGGCAAGCATTCACACACACCTAGCATGAGTTTTAAGCCACCATGTCCAGGACTGGAACGGTGGGCGACTATGTGGGAGTCCAGTAATGTAGCTATTATGCCATCTGCTGGTTCCAGGTTCTGCATTTCTAATCAGTTCCCAGGTGATGCTATGCTATGAGGCTGTGGGCCACACTTGGAGTGGCCAGATTCTAGGCCTTACTTTGCCCTTACACCAACCACTGCTCCACTCTGCTCACAGCCTTTCTTAAAAAGCCTGTGAAGCTGAAGGAGGCAGATTTGAAAGGGTTGACTTAACCAGGCTCTCTGGATGGACAGAGTGTAGCACAGTTATTACTAATACAGCTGTTTATGTTTAGTTGTCATGAAACATGTGATTTTTCTGTAAAACAGTCACAAATCGCCCACTCATTTCCTCAGAGCCCTACCCCAGAGTCTCAGCCCCCATTCAGAGGAGGCTGCACCCATCTGTGGCTGGCGGGCTCTCATCAGGGACAGACCTCAAGTCGCAGCTGCCACCTGTGTTTTTTTGTGATATGACCAGCCGGCTTGGGCATGAGCTGAGGAAGGTGTTAACAATGATGAGTCTTCCAATTAGGGTGTCTCCCGCTAGTTAGGGTGTCTCCCTCCAGTTAGGGTGTCGCCTCCCTCTGGTTTTCTTTCTAATGCCCCCTCTCCTAGGGTATGCATCACTCATCCCTTTCTCTCTTTGAGAAGATCGTCTTCTGAGGACACGCAGGCCTATGACTGACTCTTGTCCTTTCTCTCTCCTGGCTCTACAGGCTGCTCTGGAAATGCTGCTCCTACGGAAGCCAGTCAGGTTAAAATGTCATCCTTTAGCAAATTACCACTATGCCGGTAGGTGCCGGGGCCCCCGTGCCCTGTTCCTTCCTGAGAGTGGCTGCTTGCATGTTTGGTTGTGTCGCTTTTTAATAGTAGATAACCAGTTCTGGCCTAATCATCACTTGTGATCTCAAGGCATTCTGGGGCACAGCTGGTGGGGACAGTTGTGTCTGTTGGCCTGGCACTGTCAGGCTTTTGTGTGACTTCCTGACCTTCATGGGTGTCCCAGGACCTGGGTGACAGTGCACAGTGCCTGCCCATGTGACAGTGAAACCAGTACACCAGAGCAAAGAGGCGCAAAGATTATAGCATGGAGCCGTAATGATCAGGATCCCCCTGGCTTTGGAATCAATAGATGTGGGTTCAGAGCATAGCTGCACCCCTTGGCTGAGCCCCCTGACCTTCTGCATCCTTATTTCCTCACCTATAAAGTGGGTCTTATATTCCATCCCTTGTGGCATTTTCGTGAAGAGCAGCAATGGAACCCAATGCCTGGCACATCCCAGTAGCCATTATTATTTATTCAGTAAGTATTTATTGAACACTTATTGTGTAACACTCAGTAGTGACCATGACAGACATAGTCCCACTTGCTTGGCGTCTGAGGAGAAGGTTATTAAATGATGGGTCACACCAATGGCAGGAGGAAGACTTTATACACCATGAGTAAGAAGGAAGTTAAAGACACCTTCGACATTTGAAAGGAGTGAAAATCATGAAGAGAAGGGAAACTAGTTTGGAGCCTAAGAGGTAACAAATGAAGCCGAGGTCACCACCTGCATTTCCTTTAGCTCTGGTAAACCTGTCCATTCTGAGAGTCTCCGTGAACCTGCCTCAGTTCTCTATTTCAGAAGGACCTGAATCTTCCAATGCTCTCTGAATTTTAATCCCTTGAGGGTTTCTTTAGTGCCTTAGGCAGACCTGGCCTAAGCAGGTGCTAAATACACGGACTTGGAGACCTGGTAATAAATACCTTTTCGAGGGTTTGGTCCTGGAGGCCATATCTGACCTAAGGTAAGGGCATCTCTACAAGTAATGGAGTGCTCTCTGGGGGCTGCCTTTCCCGACCACTGTTTCCCTTACTTAATGGGCTCTCATGAGCCAGCTTTCCTGTCCACACATAGTAGAGAGGCCCGGAGCCACTCAGCTAAGCAAGCAAGCCCACAGTGACTGCCTGGAAGTCACCATCAGCGCATGGCAACTCTTGGAACTAGGCATGCACAGAGTAGATACATGCAACAAGAGATCCACCATTTAGGGCTGACCCCTTGGCCTAGTGGTTAAGGGAACTGGATACCACACTGGGTAGTTTGAGTCCTGGACCTTCCAGCTTGAAAAACACACCAGGCACATGTGCACATGTGCCCTAAACCCCAATACATTTGAGAAATGGAGAAGGGATTCCACCATGACCATGCTCCACAGGGGGAAGGGTGCTTTCTCTGTATCACTCTCTAGCGAGTGTTCACACTCTCTGGTGAGTTAAAAAAAACAAAAAAGAAAGAAAAAAATTAATCATTTAACTAGTGGACTAAAGAGGCAGTTTCTTAATCTTGTCTCTACCATTTCCTGCTTGGTGTCTGCCCCAAGTGAGGGTAGAAAGATGTGGGAGTTCTCCCTAGTCTGCCAAGGAAACAGTTCAGTTCTCCTTAATTCCCAGCATCATCATACCCATTCGTCCCCAGCATACTGTCCAACCTCCTAGCGTCTGTCTCAAGTTTGATTGCCTGCATAGCGGGTGAGACCGTAGCTTGGCTACAAGGTGCTGCCCACTATGTGCTGTGAGATGTGGGGTGGCTGGAGGCCAGCTCCAGTTGTGAGCATCGTCTTCTGGGTGCAGCTGCCCTCCAGTCTTCCCATTGTACCAAACAAGTACTATTTGTATGTATCATGATGTAGACAAGGTTGAAAACTTATGGACCGGAAGCCACACATACTCCCAAACAAAACAAACAGATATACTAATTGAAACAAGCGGCCCTAAACCCTGCTAAAGTCAGTTGATTATTTCTCAGGGTTAGGGGTTCCTAGTGAATCCTTTGCTCATCCCCTACCCTCTTCACCCACAGGCAGACCAGAGCCCAGGAAGGTCTCTCTTACTTTCTGGAATCATTTCACCCCTTGGAGAAAAGAGAGCTGGTGCTGAGGTGAAAGGATTAGGGTGTTCGCTTATGTCTGTCTGTCACTTGTCTTCTCTAGGAAGTAATCACAGACTGGGCCCCAGAGAACCTTCTAGAATTATGGGGACCAGCAGTTAGTGTAATGGCTATGTCGCTGGACTCCCAAGTAGTTAACCGTGGTTCAAGTCCCGGACCCGGTGATTTAGACTCACGCCGGGTGCACGTGCGTGCGTGCCCAAGATCCCAAGAGCAGAATGGAGGAGAAGGGATTGTGGCATGGCCATCCCCCTGGGGGGTGATTTCTCACTTTCTATCTCTCTGTCTCTATCTGGGAGCACACACGCCCTATAGCAAAAGCCTCTCAAAAAAAAATAATAATAATAATAGAAAAAAAATAGAATTATGAACAAAAAGGTCTCCAAAGTCTGACCCAACTCTATCCCCTTAGCAGGCCACAGAGGAGGGTGGAAGTTCATCACATGTCAGCCTCCAGCCACCACCACCTCCTTCCCCCACACCAGACCCCCCTCCCCCTTCTGGGGGGGGGTCAGTGAATCCCATCTCCGTGCTGCCCCCCTGCTTTGGCCTTGTGCTGAGCCCTGTTGGATTGCACCTTAGTAGAGATCGTCTATTGGTTCAATTACTGCCTCATTGGACACAGTCTCCTTTGGCTTCCAGGCCAGTGGCTGTGACCAGTATTATCCCCCCAACTCCCAGTGCTGAATTCACACTCCAGGCTCCTACTTGTCTAGAAAGGGAGTTCACACCTCCCAGACCTGACTGCCCTGGCGGGAAGCAAGTCTGGGCTCGAGGAGCAGGGCTCCTAGGCTTTCCTTGCCCATTCCATCCCAAGCAATTTAGTAAGAAGAAGAAAAAGTGACCGATGCTGTGATCCCGGAGAGACGCACTAGCAGGAGACAGGCCAGGGGGATGGACAGCTCCCTCACACCTCAGCGCTGCTCGCCCAGCTAGATGGGCCTTGTACAAAATCGCCAAAGGAAGGAACTGTTGCACTGGCTGCTGGCGCTCCGTTTACATCAGGATGCGTGGCCCAGAATTTTAATCCCTTGAGGGTTTCTTTAGTGCCTTAGGCAGACCTGGCCTAAGCAGGTGCTAAATACACGGACTCTGGGTAGTTTGAGTCCTGGACCTTCCAGCTTGAAAAACACACCAGGCACATGTGCACATGTGCCCTAAACCCCAATACATTTGAGAAATGGAGAAGGGATTCCACCATGACCATGCTCCACAGGGGGAAGGGTGCTTTCTCTGTATCACTCTCTAGCGAGTGTTCACACTCTCTGGTGAGTTAAAAAAAACAAAAAAGAAAGAAAAAAATTAATCATTTAACTAGTGGACTAAAGAGGCAGTTTCTTAATCTTGTCTCTACCATTTCCTGCTTGGTGTCTGCCCCAAGTGAGGGTAGAAAGATGTGGGAGTTCTCCCTAGTCTGCCAAGGAAACAGTTCAGTTCTCCTTAATTCCCAGCATCATCATACCCATTCGTCCCCAGCATACTGTCCAACCTCCTAGCGTCTGTCTCAAGTTTGATTGCCTGCATAGCGGGTGAGACCGTAGCTTGGCTACAAGGTGCTGCCCACTATGTGCTGTGAGATGTGGGGTGGCTGGAGGCCAGCTCCAGTTGTGAGCATCGTCTTCTGGGTGCAGCTGCCCTCCAGTCTTCCCATTGTACCAAACAAGTACTATTTGTATGTATCATGATGTAGACAAGGTTGAAAACTTATGGACCGGAAGCCACACATACTCCCAAACAAAACAAACAGATATACTAATTGAAACAAGCGGCCCTAAACCCTGCTAAAGTCAGTTGATTATTTCTCAGGGTTAGGGGTTCCTAGTGAATCCTTTGCTCATCCCCTACCCTCTTCACCCACAGGCAGACCAGAGCCCAGGAAGGTCTCTCTTACTTTCTGGAATCATTTCACCCCTTGGAGAAAAGAGAGCTGGTGCTGAGGTGAAAGGATTAGGGTGTTCGCTTATGTCTGTCTGTCACTTGTCTTCTCTAGGAAGTAATCACAGACTGGGCCCCAGAGAACCTTCTAGAATTATGGGGACCAGCAGTTAGTGTAATGGCTATGTCGCTGGACTCCCAAGTAGTTAACCGTGGTTCAAGTCCCGGACCCGGTGATTTAGACTCACGCCGGGTGCACGTGCGTGCGTGCCCAAGATCCCAAGAGCAGAATGGAGGAGAAGGGATTGTGGCATGGCCATCCCCCTGGGGGGTGATTTCTCACTTTCTATCTCTCTGTCTCTATCTGGGAGCACACACGCCCTATAGCAAAAGCCTCTCAAAAAAAAATAATAATAATAATAGAAAAAAAATAGAATTATGAACAAAAAGGTCTCCAAAGTCTGACCCAACTCTATCCCCTTAGCAGGCCACAGAGGAGGGTGGAAGTTCATCACATGTCAGCCTCCAGCCACCACCACCTCCTTCCCCCACACCAGACCCCCCTCCCCCTTCTGGGGGGGGGTCAGTGAATCCCATCTCCGTGCTGCCCCCCTGCTTTGGCCTTGTGCTGAGCCCTGTTGGATTGCACCTTAGTAGAGATCGTCTATTGGTTCAATTACTGCCTCATTGGACACAGTCTCCTTTGGCTTCCAGGCCAGTGGCTGTGACCAGTATTATCCCCCCAACTCCCAGTGCTGAATTCACACTCCAGGCTCCTACTTGTCTAGAAAGGGAGTTCACACCTCCCAGACCTGACTGCCCTGGCGGGAAGCAAGTCTGGGCTCGAGGAGCAGGGCTCCTAGGCTTTCCTTGCCCATTCCATCCCAAGCAATTTAGTAAGAAGAAGAAAAAGTGACCGATGCTGTGATCCCGGAGAGACGCACTAGCAGGAGACAGGCCAGGGGGATGGACAGCTCCCTCACA